GGTGGGACCTGGCGCTTGAGCACCCGAGGGGCACTCACAGGAGGGGGCTGGCCCCGGGACATACCGGAGAATCACGGAGTGAGGACCCGCCGCGGGGAGCGAAGGCAGCGGTGGGGCTGGGGGCGTGGGGAGAGGTGGAGTGGGATGTGCTGTCGTCTCGCCTGTGGGCGTGGGGAGGCACCTCCAGGGGCACCTCGGGGGTGCAGAAGGGACAGGGACCCTCCCTCGGGGCGCTGGGGGAATGTGGGCTTCAGGTGCCCGGATGCTGCCCTTGGCAAGCAAGCCTGTGCCTACCCTACCAGTAGGTCCCCGTGGGGTCGCTTATCCCTGCCATTTCCACGGAACCCCCCAAGATAGCCAGTAGTCAGCAACTAACCAAGCTCTGCTTCTTCCAGGCACTGATCAGTGCAGAAACCTTACCAGCACCACGCTCGCAGGATGAAAAGCTTTAACGTCGGGGCTCTGCAGCATCAGTGGTGGGCGCCCAGCTATAATTTCGACATTTCCTGCGCTTCCCTGCTTGACTTTGCCTTGACAGCATTCTGATTTGATTGCAGAGTGTCTTGGGCAACACGGGCAAATTGGAAATGCATGTGCAGTGCCATGTGGGTGTTAAGGTGGGTCTTAGCCATCTTAATGGGTCCAGCCATCATTGGCTTAACACCCACTTTGTCCCTGTCCCTGACATCCATTCAGAGCTTTCATCTGCCCATTCACACTGCATTTACTTACATCATCTCTCCTCCTGAAATCAGTGGGCATCAGACACTGGAAGGATGGAGACTTCCAGTGAGAGACAGAACTCGTCTCGTGATAGGAACTTTTACTAGTATCACTTTGCAACATTTCAATACCAAGAAAATGCTGGATATGCAGCTCAACACAGGTGTCAAAAATGTATTTGGTGGTACCATTTATTCCTGTGACTTGAAAAGGTATCACCTTTGTTGGGAAAGAGGGACTGGCTGTCATACCTGTGCTAGGATGGGTGTGTCAAAGCTACGGGGATTTCAGATCCTCAGGAACATATCAGTGAGACACAGGCAATTTCTGGGAGTGTAGAAGCTCCTGCATCTCAGTAGAAAGGGCTTTAATATGTTCCTTACTCTTCTATCACCTGGAAAAACTGGGTGGGGATATGGACTACAAACTTTAGCAGCATTCTCTGTTATTTTCTGATTCGTGGAAAGCATTTGAGTTAGTGGATTAACATCTACTTTGGGCCTCTTCCAGTGGCTCAGAGAGTAAGTCCACTGAGCCTATTAAAAAGCCACATTATTTCACAAAGATGGGACAAATGGAGAGCACCATTTAATGAAATGGAGTCTCTTTGCAAACAAGGAGTCAGGCTGCTTATAGCTTTGCTCAAGCACAAGAGCAGTATGGGCTTAGGTGGCAGGGCAAGTTGGGAACAAGCTAGAAGACACCAGTTCTCAGTATAAAATTAGTTCACAATCTTGAAAGAAAGTTGATCTATCACCTCTTCTACTTTAAACAGATGTAGGGAGAGGTCCAGATGCCAGGAGGATTGGCACTAAGGCACTGGATTTCCTGCTACCTTATACTGGAGGATTCATCAGTGTGGCATGGAATATCCTCTTTGCCATGGTTTGTGGTGGATGCTAACAGTTTAAAAATGAAAGTAAAAAATTGAGTTGCAGAGCAAGAAACCATAGGTGGCCTTAATAGCATGAAAATTCCCACTTGAGCAGGTTCCTGAAGACTGTACATGCAGGAAAGTAACACAGGAAAAGTCTGGCTATGCATTTGCTCCAGTTTTCTCTTCTCTTGGCCATCATTGATGGCCTCTCTTGAAGAGTGGAAGCTGGTGAGAAGAAATGCTGTGGTCACACATAACCCACAGTTAATATCCTCTTGCAGCCCCCAATCATATGGGGAAGGATGTTTACAGGTACTGAAGCAGCAGGACGGTGCAGCTGGCTTGCCTGCGCTGCTTCAGGCAGTTTGGCCGGGCACAGTGCTTGGGCACATCCCAGCTGTACTTGTGTCATGCATGTGAGTCTCCTGCCGTAAGTATGGGAGCTTGTCTTTCCACCTGAGTAATTACTGGGGTAAAAGCAAGTAACACCCTGAAGGAACATGGGACAGGACAATGAAAAATGCTTCTGAGCTGCTTTTCAGCACATCAGCCTGGGGTGGCACTGCTGAAAACCTCTTTCCTAAGGCACTGGAGGGCCCCTGCTTCTGGTGAGACTGGGAATGCCCTAGAAATGGTTTGGCACTGGCTAATTGGCTGTTTCTGCCAACTTAAACCTGGCACAGCAGCAGGGCAGGGAAGGACAGAGGGGAAAGAGCTGATTTTCCTAACATTTTAATCTCCTTGACAATGTTCCTGTAGGGAAGAAGTCAGCAGCACTGAGCAGACTAATAAGCTTTTGGTGTAAGTCTGGGTTTGTTGTGCAGCAGGTATTGGCTCCAGTTGACAAGCTGCCTCCCTGGCTGGGTCCTGAGTGCTGATCTGTGGCATCACCTCTAATTTTTGATAGACTCATCCAGGCTGTTTTCATAAAGGCTGGGTTCAAAGGTTCACAGAAAGATGTGGAGGAAGCTCCTCATCTCATCACATTCCCTCACCATTCTGTCAGTGGCATTCCCACCCCCACACAATAAAAGATCACTCTGGAGGTCCTGTCTATCACACAGAGCCCATGAATCATTCACTTCAGCTGTACTCCTACATCTGCAATCCCACATAGCCCAAAAGACAGGATCCAGGCCTCAGGGATTCAATTATGTACATGACGCTCAGTCTCTCCTTCCTTGATCCCTCTGTGCCCATTCATTTTGCTCCATCCTGCAAAGTTCTCTGCTGTATCAGTCACAGATGGGCAATTTATCCTCTCCTGTTTCCCGTATGAGCCCCATCTATCACCTGCCTGTCTTTGAAATTAATTTACTGGCTGGCCAAGTGCTCACTTTACATCCCTGGCTCCCTCCCATCTGTTTGTACCATGGAGGGTACTCCCTGGAGGCAGGATGAGCATCTCCTGGTGGCTGTGTGTGCTGCACAGTACTATGGCCCTAAGGAGTGCTGCTGTCCTGTGGGTAGTTCTGCTGCACGGGACGGCTGCATGTGCTGTGGGAGGGCGGGGAAAGGGCTGCTGTGAGTTACCCACATGCTCCTGGAGGATCTGCTTATGCTGTCAGTCACCATCACAGCACAAAGCAGCACCCTTCTACCTGGCAGAAAAATGTGTGTGGATTACTGTGATACTGTCTTGAGTGAGGGCATTAGTAGTCCCTGGAGCCTCCAGGAAGCTCCTGATGGGCAGTAATCAACATAGTTTTCCTTTTCTTCTCCTCCATAACTTTTTCTGCTGTTGTTTTCAACTCGGCTAAGCACATCTGTCTACTTGATCTGTCATGGACAGATTTACAGGTGCTGGCTTTGACTTCTGCTGTCTGACTGTGCGCTAGTTTAAATGATGCATGGCAGACCAGGGCCACACATCCTGCTACAAGGAAAATACACTTCATCTCAGTGATTTGCCCTGGGATCATAACCACTTTGGAGGAAGGTAGCTGGTCCCAGTGTCTTATCTTATGTCAAAAGTTTTCTCAAAGAGCAGAAACTTTGAAGATAGGCTCTAAAAGTATATTCTAACTGCTGAAACTGTTAAAGGAGACATGGTTAAGGGAACCTGCCTGGAAGGCTGCTCACCTTTTCCTGGGTGCTAAGGCTAAACCCCATAGATGATCTGCAGCTGTAGAGCAACAGTGAAAGGGGAGAGATTGTCCATGGGGATGGGAGCAAAGCTGCTACTGAATCAGCACAGTGCTTGAAAGTTAATTGATCCAGCAACACTTGTCTTAATTCCATGTGGGAAAGCACTTTGAAAAGTCAAAGGCATGTTCTTTAAGGGACACATATTCCTCACCAAGTGAGTAGTTTCAGCCAGGGCAGTATCCATCCAAAGCTGCTCTCAGAGACAGCCTCGCACCCTCTTCTGTTTCTTCACCCTGCAGGAAGAGGCACTGTGAATGGAGTGGTCACCTGAGAAATGCCTAATCCAGGCAAAGCCTGTGTTTGCCATCTCTGTCTCAGCTGAGCTTCTATCCAGTGCCCTTGGGCTGGGTTTGTGGGACAAGGGCACTGGATCTGATCAGTGCCAGAGGGAAAGGGTTGCTGGTAGCTATGACCATGGCAGAGGGAGGGCAGGTGGAAGGGAGGACAGGCAGTTGGGTCAGCATCTCCATTTTCCCTGTGCCCTGTTTATGCTGTGCCCTGAGTGTGTTTCATGGCAATGTGTGCTGCAGCTCTCTCTGACCCCATAAACAAAGGTATTCTTATCCTGGGAAAACCCTCCAATGTACTTTATGGTCTCAAGGAGTGAGGGTGAACTACAGATAAGAATTTCAGAGTTGGTGAGTATATCACAGTCAGGGTCAGTCATGCTTTGATGCCTATCTGCCTGATGGATTGTCTGGTAAAACAGAGGATAAAAAGACCTTTATTCACCAAGAAAGTTAAGTGATGGCTTGGAGATGGAGATGAATTGGCTGCAAAGGTGCTAGATGCCATCCTCATGAAGGCTCAATGTAGCTGAAGGCTGTGCCTTCCCTGTGAAGGCATAGTGCCAGAGGTACTACTTCATGATGGATGTGTGTGAGTCTTACTGCCTTGCACCACTGCTAGTCACAGCTGCGGGGTCTGTATTTTAATTAGAAACCTGCCATCAGTCAAGGGAGGGAATCAGCAAAAGGAGGAGGAGGTGATAAAGCCTTGGGCTTGATGAAGGCACCATTTCTGTGTAGCTCTACTGTATAGAAGACCTACAAAAGGCTGGAGTCCTCAAAATACTGTCTGGGCTTGAGAATGATGGAGGAAGGTAAATCTCAGCTTTGTTTAACCCTCACACTTTTATGATCTGACCTGACCTGTACTACTCTGTCACAAAGCTATGGTTTCTGTTGCTCTTCTTGCTTCTACATTTGGGGCAGTATCTGGTATCTGGTATGTGTGTATTGGTAGGCCTGCATTGTAGAGGAAGCTTTTTTAAAATAGTGTTTGAGATGTTTTTTATCCATATGATGTTTTTTTCCAAAACTAAAGGTAATTTTCATCTGTGATGAAAAAATCTGTTTTCCTCTAGATTCTGAACTCATCTCTCCCCCAAATTTTGGGGGAGTATTTTGAGGGGGCTCAAAGGGAAGAAGAAAAAATATTTTCCATCTTTTTCAGATTATTCTGTTATCACAGAGCAGAGTCACACTTACTGGAACTGCTCTGTAGTTCAACATTAGAAGCCTAGCCATTACTGGAAGTATCATGATTTTGGATTAATTTCATGCCCGCAAGCAATGCTAGTTTAGGAACTGCAAGACCTTAGTGTATTTTTGTCTATCAGTGCCCTCAGGCTCCACTGAGCCCAGACTTTTCTCATCTTTGGGGCACTCGTGAACTGGTTCACTTGATTGAAATCTTCCCTAGTGAGAGCAGCCAAATCTCATCTGTGTCTCAGCAATCCCTGTTTTGCAAGCCTTCAGTGCTTTCTTCTAACGACTTGGAGTAGAGGGAAGAGTGTAAGAACAACAGTTCCTGACCAAATTAATTGATCCGGCTGAGACATCAGGATTTGGCCATAGCTTGTTAATG